AGGAATGGGGTGAGGTCCACGGTAGACAATGTAGGGGTTTGAAGATGTAACAACAGAGTCAAGTAGAGCATTTCAGGTGTTGACCACTGTTGTTGAAGTTGCATTTTCTGCAATCAAGTTTGGAGCGATTTACCTTGGGTTTGTATCTATTGTTGGTGTATTATTGAGGGCGAACCTGAAGTAGTCAGTAGTCAGTTGACAGGTAGGACATTGTGGCAGATAATTCTGTGTACAATGCTTAGGTCGGACCATAGGCAGCATAGTTCCCGGTTGTCCAGGCCCCAAATATTGAGCCTGGTGGCGTAAGGGTTTCTATTGCAAGTAGGGGAATTGAGTATTCTTCTCGTGAAATACTTCTGGACCCACTCAATTGTATTATTGTTCGATATACAGTGTGGATTCCAGGCAGACGAGGTGTATTCGAGAATTGGTCTGGCAAAGGTTTTGTATGCCCGAGTTTGCAGTACAATGTTACCAGAGAAGAAGCTTCACAAGGTTAGGTTAACAACTCTTAGTGCCTTTTTGGCAATGCTGTTAGAGTGAGCTCTGGTGCTTAGATCATTAGAGATGAGTACTCCTAGATCCTTGACAGAGTGAGGGTCATCTACGAGGTCGTATTTGCCCAGCTTGTATTTGATGTTCTGATTTTTGTTGCCAATGTATCCTGCATTTTATCCTGGGTATCCTGCATTTTAGCCTGAGTATCCTGCATTTTAGCCTGGGTATCCTGCATTTTGGGCTCGGCTCAAAAAAGGTATCTAAAATCCTCCAAAAGCTCACATCCAGTATCTCTCTGCAACTCTTTAAAGCAGCCATGTGAATCCAGAGGGGGGGGATGTGGCTGTTTGAAAGAATGGGAGCCAGATGTTACATACAAGCATCTTCACAGCACCCAATTACCGAACGACAGTTAAAACTACATCAGCTTCCTTTTACAGAACAACAGAGTTGGAAGGGACCTTGTAGGTCATCTAGTCATCTAACCCTAACCCTAACCCACCCCTCACTGCTCAAGCAGATGATCTTATGCCATTTCTTACAAGTTTTGATGATATCCAAAATGAAGGTCCCGATACAGTCACCTCATTCTTCTTTATGCTGGGAGAACAATGGTTAAAATTGTAAGCTGTTATGCGATGGGCCTCAGGAAATGTACCAAACAGAAGTCCACAGCAGGAAAGAGAGAATTTCTTCCTTTCTCTACTTGAAATCCTTTTATTCTGCTTTTCCTGCCAAAAAAAAAAAAGATAAAATAAACCCATCCCAAATTAAAATAATTAAAACCCCAATTAAAAAGCATCACATTTGTTTTAAACCAAGATCTAAACAATTGGGCATGTATTGAAAGTCTTTAAAAATGCAATAGACACCTTTTAAAAGATCATTTTGGAAGGAGGAGAACCTATTAAGACATCGGCTAAATAAGGCTAGCAAAAACCACAAAAACATGTGAAAACAAAGCGCTGGAACGAACCGAGAAAATAAGGGCCCACAAGTGAAAATTCCACTTTATAAGTTGATGCCAGCCGAGTTTTATATAAAAGGACAACTTAGGGGAAAAAATTTCTCTAATTGGGAAGATTCCTATGGGAGCAGGCTGGTTTTTCATTATTGATCTTCTGCATCCAGACGCTTTCGATGTCAGGTATCAAAAATCAAATGTATGAAAGCAGAAAAATCACTGTTTCTTACCACCACATCCCTTTTAGGAAATAAACTAAGCTAACACACTGGGGGAATAAATTGACAAACCATCTTGTGTTGTTACAAAGAGAAAGAAAGGGTGGGATGGGGAAAGAAGCAGGGGGGAAAAATGACATCCATCCATCAAAATCCATGGGGGAAGTTTTGCTTTTGAAGTCGCATCAATCTGGGGGTCTCCCTTCTCACCAGCCTTGCCTCCTGCCCACCTCGTCCGTACCTCCACTCACCACAAAGCTTTGCCACCGGAGTCCAGGCCAACCAATGGCAACATGTCATGGGGGTTGGTTGATGTGTGTCTATTTAGTCTCAGCATAGGCCGAAATGCCATCATTAATTCATTATCCAGCTGCCTGTCAAATAAATTGGCAATTACACCCACCGCCGGAGCCTGGAATTTCAGTAAATAGCATGTTTCTGTCGATGGAGCCGTTGAGAAATGTTAAAAAAAGAAAAGGGGGGGGGGAGAGAAGAAGGATGGGAGAGGAAATTAAACAACGAGAACATGTTTGTTTCACTAGCAAAATGACAAGAGACAATGCTTGTCAAGGCAACGTTGGGACTTGGGGGGGGGGGGGGGGTTCCATCCAGTGGGGGAGCTCTTGTAACAGAGCCAGGCAGAAGGGAGGTGGACCGGAATAGGTTTCAGGAAAAGGGAGAAACATGCATACACACAGCGGGATAATTCTCATTTATCTATCTTTTTTCTCCCTATTTCCTTGCAGAGCTCCGCTCCTTCCAGCTTGGGAACAGGCTACTTTGTAAGTGGATCTCAACTTCTTTTTTTTAAAAGATACGTGTCATGGAACAGTGTCAAACATGGTGTTGGAAGGAATGTCCATCTGGGCTCAGCTCCAAGTGGGGGGAAAGACACTGGCGTCATGGAGGCTGTTTGGAAAGATGGTTTAATGTTGGACAGGATCACATGGCTTGAGGTCCTGAACAGAAAAGGGAAATCACATGCTTCCAGATGTTGGGTGAAGAAGAAAAAGAGGCAGAGATGATGAAAGTCCCTGGTTTTATGCCCTCTCTGGCCTTTGATCTTGAGCTTTTATTCTGATTGGTTGTCAGACTCCCATGGGGCCATGCAGGGGCANAGACAGACATCAGACATCTTATATGAAGTGGCAGGTACTGAACTGAACACCTCATGTTTGCAAAGTGCAGCATTAAATGGCAGCCATAATACTAATTGTTTCTTTTGGAGAGGCACCAAGTTCCACCACCCACCCGCACTTCCAAATCAGCCTTCTTCAGAATAACCTTGACTTGATCAGTTGAACGGTTTCAGTCTAATGAATGATGGACAGCTCACCGCGTACACAGGAGAATTTGACAAGGGACTCCTGTGTATCCGTTTTAGTTCTCCCTCTCCCCCCTCCCCTTTCCTTCCACATCCTTGTTTTGTGTTTGGGCATGTTGAGTATCTGAATCTGGGTGCATAAATGCTTTGTTGCATTATGTTAATTCCTCAGCAGCACAATCAAATCCATGTTGTAATTAAAGCTGTCAGTTGGAAGGCAAGCCAATGGCAGCCGAAACACAGCATAACAAATGAAGTGAAATGCTTCTGCATGTAGCTATACAATGCTTCACCAGGCATGAAATTAAATAAGTAATTTGATGTTGACATCAGAAATTGAAATGATACCCACTGTTCCTTCATTCTGTCAGACCTGCATAAACAATAGCCAGAGCAAACATAAGCGGCAATACGACGCCTCACCCTCGCGACTCCTCGCGTTTAATTCACAATATATATGCAGGAATGGAACTGCGGACTTCCCAAGACCCGAAGGAGATAATTTCTTTGGGGTTCTTGATGAGCTCCTGAATGCAGAAGGGGCGGTTGCTTTGCACATCCCCCTGCAAAACGCTCTTCAAAAACATTCTTCCTTTGGAAACAGCCCTGCAGGCAAAGAGGCCTGAGAACGTTCTCATGGATTGGTGGTTATTTATGAAGCTGAATCTCCGCGAGAAGATCTTTTCTGCGTTCTGCTTGTGGGCATCCCAATCTGTCACAGCATCATTGCTGTTAACCGTTTTGTTTTCGTTTGGGAAGAGGCAAGGGACTGCACACTGGCCAACAGTTTACGCAACAAGGAAAATGGGGGGGGGGGCTTGTTATGAAAACGCCAGGGGTTTGTACAAGAGATCTGTTCTGACCCAGCTTCCCCAAAGAAACTCTACAGATGAACCCCCTGTAGTTGAAGCAATGATTCCTTTATTACGAGCGCCAGCAGCTCCAGGAAAGAGTGTTCTGACCAAGACTTCCCAAGAGCATGAAACAAACTCCTTGTCCTGACAAAAAAACACCTTTTATTCATTTACTGTGAATTCTGCTCATTCACATCCAGCAAAGTCTTTCCAGGGAGGATTTACAGTCACAGCCCTTATCTGGCTTGGAGAGCTGCCAGGCCAATATCTGCAAAACTTGCCAAGGAGTCTCAGAGTGTCACGAAACAATGAAGCGAACTAATTGTCTCCTGCAAAGTCCACTCCCCTTTCGCTCCTCTTTTATTTCCACTGGGAGGGGCCATTCATTGTCTAGCCTTACTCCCAAGTCGATCCCTGTTCTTTAGTTGTTCCCTTCATCTGGCAACTCTGCACATGCGCACACTGGGAACAGGCTCCAGCTGTTCATCTGCCTGACTGATGCCTGACTCTGAAGGCAGCTGATAACTGGCATAAGGCTCTTTCCCCCTCTCTGCCTCGGACGCAGAGCCTTCATCAGAGCCTTCCCCAGACTCCAGGACTGGCCCATGTTCCTCCCCAATCTCCTCACTGTCCGAATCTGCTTCCAGCTCCACTGGCCACTGGTTTTCAGACTTTTTGCTAAAACTAAAGTTATCGCTGATGAATGTGGTTGCATGGGATGAAGTTGAGGATGAACACACATTAAAGCAATATTGGACATATAAACCACTCTGTCTATTTATTCATCCATCCATCCCTAACTACACTGGTTTTATTAAACCCTGAGGACAAATATGTATGTTTGCAGGAAATGAAGACGCTTTGTATTTCTAATTGGGTTGATCAAGGGCAGCCTAGAACAGTGATGGCTAACCTTCTTGTTGTTGTCTTCCAATAATGTGTGCACGTCTGCGCGACCATGCGCGCCCCCCCACCCCCATAATGCAATGCATGTGCAACATCCCCCATGCATCCTGCCCATGCGCACACAATCCTCCCATGCTCCCCACACATGCATGTGCGCCCCCGCCTCCCCGTGGCCCATTTTTGCCCTAGTACTTGTGCCTAAGCTACTAAAATATCCTTCGTGGTCTTCGTCAGGAAAATGATAGGAATTTCTACAAGGAAGAGGGAAAAGTCCCAAGAGATAATGAGGTATCTACTGTAATAACGCATCTATCACTGTAGATAGATAGAAAAGTAGTAGGCCTCCCTGCAGCCTCATGGAAGCAAAAACAGGGGAGGGGTACACCCCACGCCCCATTTTGGGCCTAGTAAGCCTCCCTGCAGCCTCCTGGGAGCAAAAATGGACTTGGGGGGGGGGGTACACCCCGCACTCCATTTTGGGCCTACTAAGCCTCTCTGCAGCCTCCTGGGAGCAAAAATGGGCTGGAAGAGGGAACATGTGCNCAAGATTTTGAAGAGGCAAATTTTAAAAAAAGTTTTTTCACTCTGCAGACCTCCCAGAAATGGCCCGTTTTTCGCAAAAACGGGTCTGTTTTTTGTCAAAAAAAAGGGCATGCATAGCCTTTAGGAGGCTTATAGAGTGCTCCTGGGGGCTGGGGGGGGGCAAAAATGAGCAAAAACAGCCCTTGCAAAGGGGGGGGGTCGAGAGGCCAAAAAATGCTGTATTCAGTGTATAAGACAAATCCAGATTTTCACCCTCTTTTTTTGAGGGAAAATGGTGTGACTTATGCTCTGAAAAATATGGTATATATGTGTATGCATGTCTTGGGAAACAGGTTTAAATACACTGAATGGGGCTGATACGTACAGATGTATTCTACATTAGAATCCCTTATTACAGTAGATATCTCATTATCTCTTGGGACTTTTCCCTCTTCCCTGTAGAAATGCCTATCATTTTCCTGACGGAGGCCGCTGAAGATATTTTAGTAGTGTATTCATCTCCATATTTCCAAGTATTCCATCTGCTCCATTGATTAAAGTACTGAGCTTTGATATCACCTGTGGGCAGGATGTGGGCAACACGTGTTCTTCTAGCTATACATGCTGGTTGTCAAATGAGTTTCAGGCTCCCGTCTGAAAAATGCAAGAAAAAGTGAGGCACAACCTATCAAACAGTGTATACAGTTAATCATGCATCTTTATTAAATGCAGTGCAAGTAGATTGCACAGGGTACGTAACCTGCTGGATTCACATCTGATATTTGGCCAGCACCTTCCCAAACGGTCTTGAGAAGAACAGCACACGTTAAGAAATGCTGTTACCTTATCACCTAAACAAAAGAGCTAACAAATGGAACTCCTGTGAATAAAACTCAGTTTGTGTTTGCTCCCATTATGCATTTATAAATAAGTCTTGTTCAGCTGATTGGAGGGTGTGTTTTGATACAATAGCGACATCAGCTTCTTCATTCTACATGGTATGTGTTAATTTTAAAACAGGTTTGAATGGAATGTCCTAATATAATATAAAAAAAGTGAGATTATTGGGATATATGAGGTTCCCTTTGACAGATTTTCTTACTCATTCATGCATGCATGGATGCGATTATGTGGCCACCCAATACAAACTATTTAACTAGGGAAAAGAGAAAGGGAAAGGAAGAGAAGGGAAAGAAAAGGAAGGAGGGACAGAGGAGAAATAAGGGAGAGAGGGGGGGAGGGAGGGAGGGAGGAAAATGAAGAAAGGAAGGGAGGAAAAGGGAAAAAAAGAAGGAAGGAAAAGAGGAAACCATAACTAATGGAAACATATTAAACAACAAAATGGTGGACAGAACTGAAAACTGCCACAATCCTAAGGTAGCACTTCATAGCTCAATTTGCATGAATTGATCAAAACTGGCATCTCAGAGTAAAACAGATTTTTTTTCCCAGCCTTATGTGATGATCTCAGGAACTAAACTTGGTAGATCTGGCATGCAAGATGTATTGTTATAAAAGTGTTGGGCTAGGATGAAGGAGATCTAGTTCAAGGCCATTTCCAGACATGAAGATTCACAGAGTGCTTACGGGTCAATTATCATACCTCAGTCTAACCTGCTACCTGCGGTTGAAATTGTGGGGGGAAAGAAAGGCACCTTGAGATTGTGGAGAAAAAGTAGGGACATAAACTGATGATGATGATGAAAGTGCTGTGGGTTGTCCATAGTGTTTCTCACTAACTGTGCTTAGTGCTATTTGGGATCCTCCTTTTGATAGAAATGAAACTATGTGAGAAGACCATCTCTTTATGGGAAAACTCATTCCTTCTCAGAGGTAAGAGCTGAGAAGCAGAAGCATCCAAGGGGTTGATGACATCCAAGAATCAATGAGTGGGTCCTCAACTAGAGATTATTAATTTGTCTGGATACTGGTTTATGCAGGGGTGGCTTCAAAAATTGCAGCAACAGGTTCACTGCCCCATTGTTGGGTGGGTGAGGCCGTGGTGGGCATGGCCTAGTCGGCCTCCTGAACCATGGCGGGTGGGGCACTTTTTGCCACCCCCCTCAGGCTCCGGAGGCTTCCATCGAGCCTCCGGGAGGGTGAAAACTGTTTCCCCTGGGCTCCGGAGACCCTTTGGAGGCTGGAGACAGGCCCATTTCTAGACTTACAAAACCTC